TTGTGTCTGGTCCGTTAATCGTTTATCCGTATTCGGTTAGAAATTTGTACTAGCGTCATTATTTCCGGACATACAATGTCTTCTTTTGGCACTGTATGTGCATCGTTTCACAAAAGCACAGGTTTCCAAAATAATCGTCGATACGGGTTTTAAAACACTTCACAGAATCGGCCTCTATTAATCCTTCAGGTAGTGTATTCCATAATTTTACGATTCTTCGTTCGATACAAAGCTGATGTGATACTTTGTTCATGCTGGGGACCCTGAGTTTGTAACGATGTCCTCGGGTGTTACATGGTTCTCGCAGGCGAAATATTGGACGCAGTATGGGGAAGTGGCTCAAGTGTAGTACTCGATGGGTCATAATAAGATCAATTCTTACTCGGCGATAAGATAGTGTGTAGAGTCCGAGCCTTTCACAACGTTTTTCATACGGAAGCTTTCGTAGACTTGGTATCATTCTAGTTGCGATATGCTGTATTTTCTCCAGCTTTTCAGTTACCCATTGGGTTATCGGATGGTAAGCTGGGGCACCGTATGGTAAGCTGGGGCCTACACACAGTCGTACATTTGAGGGCAAATGGTTTGGGGACGTTAAACTAGCTCCTGTTCTCAGTGGGTAATTCAGCCAAGTAACTATCCCAACGGAGTCAACTGCGGTTCAACTGTCCAACATCATGACTAGTTGGTCTTCCGAACTTTTGACGGCACTTGTACACTTGGTGACTGGAAAGGATGTGCCGAGTTCTGACGTATGCTCAACGTATTATCCTCGCTTACTCGGTTGAACCTATTCGGAACACTAGGAGATCGAAAGCTTTTAATGTATTGTAGTTGAAAATAATGTGTCCTCGGATGGCTCATTCAGTTCGGTCGTCCAGTTTAGCGATTTGAAAAGTGACTGAGCTTGTGGCGCTTTAAAAGGCAGGACTAACCGGTCATTTCATCCCTTGCTTATTACGACGCTTCCGCAAACTAGGGAACGCTGTGAATTTGCGCTGGAGTACTCTGGCACTGTTAGACAGCTGAACTACTGTTTAGTTTTCTTTCCAGCAAATAAGCCACTGTTGGCAAAGGGCATTCGTTCGTAGTAGTAGTAGTAGTAGTAGTAGTAGTAGTAGTAGTAGTAGTAGTAGTAGTAGTAGTAGTAGTAGTAGTAGTAGTAGTAGTAGTAGTAGTAGTAGTAGTAGTAGTAGTAGTAGTAGTAGTAGTAGTAGTAGTAGTAGTAGTAGTAGTAGTAGTAGTAGTAGTAGTAGTAGTAGTAGTAGTAGTAGTAGTAGTAGTAGTAGTAGTAGTAGTAGTAGTAGTAGTAGTAGTAGTAGTAGTAGTAGTAGTAGTAGTAGTAGTAGTAGTAGTAGTAGTAGTAGTAGTAGAGTAGTAGTAGTAGTAGTAGTAGTAGTAGTAGTAGTAGTAGTAGTAGTAGTAGTAGTAGTAGTAGTAGTAGTAGTAGTAGTAGTAGTAGTAGTAGTAGTAGTAGTAGTAGTAGTAGTAGTAGTAGTAGTAGTAGTAGTAGTAGTAGTAGTAGTAGTAGTAGTAGTAGTAGTAGTAGTAGTAGTAGTAGTAGTAGTAGTAGTAGTAGTAGTAGTAGTAGTAGTAGTAGTAGTAGTAGTAGTAGTAGTAGTAGTAGTAGTAGTAGTAGTAGTAGTAGTAGTAGTAGTAGTAGTAGTAGTAGTAGTAGTAGTAGTAGTAGTAGTAGTAGTAGTAGTAGTAGTAGTAGTAGTAGTAGTAGTAGTAGTAGTAGTAGTAGTAGTAGTAGTAGTAGTAGTAGTAGTAGTAGTAGTAGTAGTAGTAGTAGTAGTAGTAGTAGTAGTAGTAGTAGTAGTAGTAGTAGTAGTAGTAGTAGTAGTAGTAGTAGTAGTAGTAGTAGTAGTAGTAGTAGTAGTAGTAGTAGTAGTAGTAGTAGTAGTAGTAGTAGTAGTAGTAGTAGTAGTAGTAGTAGTAGTAGTAGTAGTAGTAGTAGTAGTAGTAGTAGTAGTAGTAGTAGTAGTAGTAGTAGTAGTAGTAGTAGTAGTAGTAGTAGTAGTAGTAGTAGTAGTAGTAGTAGTAGTAGTCGTTGTTGTAATAATATTCTTATTTTTTGTTATTGTGCGTCGTGTGGAGTTTCATTAGTTTACCAGCAACCTCAGTACGGCTAAGCGAGTGTGCTCCAAATGTGTCGGATTCTTCTCGCCATCTGCCAATAGCGAACTCTATATTTGTAAGCAGCGCTTCCTTTAAAGCGTTGCGGAACCTTCGAAACAACAAACTTAGCTGTGATTTAGTCACAGCGATACTTTAGCGCACGCGAATGTGTAATCCGAAGTAGGACATGTTACCCGGCTTGATTTGCATTCCTTTATGCAGTGTCAACGGTGGTGACAGATGACAGTGTGGCTAATTCGCGTGCAAAATTGCGCCTGTGATCGAAATCTTTGGCTAATGCATAGTTGCAGCGACCCAAGGATTACTGTCTATGAGACTGTCACCATTATTTGTTCCTAGGCTATCACAGCTCTTTTAAGCCTCTAGCTTCTACCCCTAAGTATCTGCTAACTAAGTCTACGCTAAAAGTCGGTCTTGATGGGACGTTTATTACGGGCAGTGCAATTGGATTGAAAGCAAAACTTCTCCATTATTGGACCCGAGTACTCTAACGTCCTGGTCGCTACGATTCTCCTAGTCGCCTCGAGCGATACGGTCGATACGAACAGTACGGACCCCGAGTAAATTGTACCTCGAACGAGACAGAGCACGCTTGTCGGTACTCGCACTGTGTGCCGCTTACCACTTGCACACCCCACCCTGAAAAGAAAGAAAACTGACCTACAGCAAAGCACTTTTACGATCCAGTGGAAATGCGATTACATGGCCACACTGCCTCAATTTTATGCTGAGATTGGCGACATAGACTGCCGAGGCGCATACAAGAAAATGACGAAAGATAAGGTCCCAGTAGTCGTCGGGGTGTGCCTGATAAGAATTTACACGCAATGTGTAAGCGTGTCGGAGCAACTTAAGTGTTGGTCTGTCAGACATGAGCGTAGTTGTCTGGATTGTGTACTCACAAAAGTATGATATCTGGATCACGACTTGTGGAGACCTTTCTGGAGTACAAGGGCTCCCCATAGCACCGAGCTACCCTAAGTGGGTGACGAACGCTGCAGCAGCAAATATTCGGTGTTTTTAAATAGGGATAGTGTGTCGCAGTCAAGACAATCTTCCACACATCCGACAAAGCACTTGACGAATGTTTTGTTCTGCTGCAACTTCCCCACCAAAAACCGAACCCATGACCTCTCGGCACCAACGGTCTATACCACTAGACACGAATAGATAGCGAGATGATCAGCGTTTTGTGTTGCCACGTTGCTTGGCACTCACTGCGCTTTTTGCCCAGGTTCTTTGGGCGTTCCGCCCCTGCCACCCCCGGTATCCATTTGGGTGTCGTTGCCTCTTCATTTGCATTTAACGCAACCCCTGTGTCGACATGATCAATAGGCTCGGCAGTTTTGTCTCCTGGTAACCGCATTGTAAATGTGTCCGTAAGGCTAAGAGATGGTGAAATCTTACCCCGGTGAGGCTGGAAATGTCGATGCGAAGGCTTCTACAGCTACATGTTGTCTGAATTGCATGGGCTTCCTACCACTAAGCGTTGCCGATTTTGCTTGGGAACGGGTATGCTTAGGCAGTGCACATTATATCTTTGCCTTTTTACCTATTGCGGGCAAATTTTGACTACTTGGCCATAAAGGAAGGCGACAAAGAATAGGTTACTCGTGAAGTAATCATACTCCACTGCCAGTTATGCAGGTCCGCGGCCGTCACCCATATCTTAGTGGCACAAGCTGCTGGCATCCGGAAGTCATGAGGTCGTAACCCGCCAGGGGTCCGAGGTAGCCGCGCGACTGAGGAGACCCAGAAGGTCAAAACAACGCTGTCTGGTGCTTTTCCAGACATGCTAAAGCCTGCTGACTGACCGTGGACTGTGATGAATTACCTCTGAACTAAGTTATTTGTTTGTCCGGTTTCTTCCGCAGGAGCTTGGTTGAAAGGCAGTGATAGAGCGCTAACTCTTGGGCCTGTTCCTCCATGGACCATCTGGACATAAAACATATCGGTTGTCAAACTTCAAGTTTGATTCTGAATGCCTCACATTGAGCCGTAGTCTGTAGAAATCTGTCACATAACGCTGCTAGACAATGGATCTGTATCAGAATCGTTGCAGTTCGATGTCTAAATGTTGGACTGCGCGGCCTTCGAGTGATGCCGAGGCGCTTAGAACACTCAAAAGGTCCATTATTGCAGCACGGAGACCGAATTGTGAATCTTGTTTCCCATATCGCTGTTGTACTTCCACGCAGTTTCTCGCCCCAACGACGTTGTCATTCAGAAACCGTTAGCCAGCAAAAGTTCATTCGTTCTCTGTCGTGTGCTTCCCTATCATCGCCGAAGTGCGCGATCGCATTGGCTCTAATAAGTGTTCCTTTGTATTGTTGTCTTTTACTGGTGAGCCATATTGTCAGCGTAGAACTCCCACTCTTTGAGACACTGTTACAGCTGCTTAAACATCTCACTTGTGAAACAAACAGGATTTACAGTCGCTTCACAGAAAACCTCTATCTCTAATCAACGTTTGCTCCCGGTAGCGTACGACCCAGTCTTTATGTGTGTTTTTTGTTTGATTAACTGTTGGCAATCTTTCCTAAGATGTCGGAGCCATCAGAAATACAGGATTTCACTGTTTAGTGCCATGGCTCTGCATATTCTTCCGTTTTTGTTCCCCTTTGCTCTCTAGTCTAATGCATCCGGGAAGAGCATTGTATTCCGTCACATATGAAAGATCTTTGTTTACGTTCTCTGTTCGGTCGATTAGACTTTCATTCCAGTTATCTTCATGGTTTTGCGCAATCCCCTGTTCCCCAAACCTATTCCTGTCATTCGCCCCCAGTTATTCTCATCATTTTTGTGTGTCATCAAGCATTTGTCTCCTTCAGTTTCCTTTTGCTTTCCCGCTGTCGCAGATGAAGACCGGTCCTTTTGCGGAACATTCGAACACGCTGTACGGTATCGCCCAAGTCCATTCGTGGGAAAAGGTGCAGTCTGGATTGATCAAAATGTACAAGGGAGAGGTGGGTATTTGCCGCTATACACCTTAATTTTACTTACTCGAGATTGTGATCAGTGAACTGTGTCCTCTTTTGTCAGTTTAACAATCTGCTTTGTTTTCCTCAGGCTCAGCCTATGTCGCTTCGACTACTGTATGTCGCCTTGCGTTCTGTCTTTATCTTACCATGTTTAATGTTATCATCGTGATAGGCAGAAACACCATGTGAAGGCTAGTGATTTCGAACATGAATCAACCGAAGCACGTGGCGCCCCACACTAGGCTTAATTTTCGCTGATATTACGATTATTTCTGCACAGCATTGGTTTCCAGTAGCGATATTCGATAGGCCTAGAAATTACTGCATTTTACAAACTTCGTCGCATGGTCCCAGATGTTAGAAAGCACGCTGGTTAAGATGCGAGATCCGCGTTTACGCATTGTGATACATGCTAACGAGCCCCCTATCGTGCAAATCACCGAAGTAAACCGATGGTGCAAACTGCGACCAAGCTAACGGAGTCAGTGTGAAAACTCTTGTCGTTGCAAAATGGAACAACACGTTAACATGAAGTCTTGCTTCATATTAGGCAAAGCGGTGACGAAGACTCATGAACGATGAGTGCAACTGTACGGCGTTTAAGCAATGGGTAGAAAATGTGTTTGAGTGATTCAAATGTTTTAGAGCCGGAATGAAAGGCGCCGAAGATGAGCACATTCGGGTTGACTGTCCACTCCGACATTCTCCCTGTCATCATCGATTCAATCCGACGGATGCTTGTGCATGATCAGCGACTGTCTTTGAGAATGATAGTGGTATAGTTGCAGATGAGCAAAGGCACTGTAAACAGTATTGTTCACGGACATTCAAAAGGCAGAAGATTTGTGCGCTGTTTGTACCGATTCACATACGTTGCATAGGTCCAACCACGCGTGACCACAGTGTTTCGTGCGATTCGACAGGAACCGTTTTGCTGACAGTTTCCGGCAGTTTTACAGCCGAAGTCAGTAGCATGTTGCAGTTAACAATGATTACTTGGAAAGTCAGTAAACGTATTTTGTTTGTAAATACGCTGCTGGACATTCGATGTGAAAACCGCTTCCTTTGGCCACTGGCCCCTCTTCTCTGAAACTTAAGGTTCCTATATATTCTAGTACAAACAGCTCACCTTAGTTTAAGAGAACCCATGTTAACCCAGCCGTTTTCTACGAACCACTTCGGATTCTAGTGCCGCTCGCTTAAGGCTTGTAATTCTGATGGTAAATCTTTTTGTTGTTGTCGGAACTGGGTAGCATTCTGGAGAAGCCATATGAGTGATGATATCAGACAAATGGCTTACTTTTCCGAATTGATGCGCAGCCGTACGAAAATCAGCCTTTTCATCCAGTCGTCACCGGATCAGTAGCGCTTCACAAACAGTTTACTTATACTGTTAAGCTAATGCTTGGTTTGGCGATTACACCAATTTGACTTGTTACCTTTGGTGTATATTCTTTGTTACTTCGACCAGCTGCACTATTGCTGTCGTCATTCCGAGCGCGGTCGGATAGCGTCGAAAGGCATGCGGAGATTCCGCTGGAGAAACTCCGTCCGGCACTTGTGAATTCGGTGTTGATTGGTAGAGGAAAAGGAACCGGTCAACCACCTTCTCTATGCGTCCCTCCCATTTTGATTTGTGGAGAGCTTGCTTGAACGTATCGACAAATCTTTCTGCCTGGCCATTCAACTGTGGGTGAAACGGGGGCGAGCAAATGTGCTTAACAGCCCATTGCTTGCAGAACTCCGTAAAAGTTGTCGAAGTGAATTGTGTGCCATTATCAGTTACGGTTGTCTCTGGACAGCCGAATCTGCTAAAGGTTTGGCGCAGTTTTGCTACAGTGGCATTGGTGGTTGTGTTATCCATGAGAAATACTTCAGACCACTTGCTGTATGAGTCGACTGTAATGAGGTAACTTCTGCCGTTGATCGGTCCTGCAAAGTCGACATTGATGTGGCACCATGGCTTCGTAACTTTTGGCCATGAATAGAGCTCTGCTTTTGTGGCGCTTTCTAGATATTGGAGCACTTTTGGCAGCGTTTAGCTATTTTTTCTAGCTGTCCATGAAGGGCCAGTATACCTAACTGCGGGCAAGCGCCTTCATACAGTTGATCCCAGGATACCCGGCGTGGAATCGCCGACTAAGGCGCTTCTGAAGTGCATTGGGGATGACCACTCTTTCCGAAAATAGTGTGCAGTCGTTCACAATAGCGAGCGAATCTCTTCTCTGGAAGTACTGTTGCAACTCGACGAATGGGCATGAACGTGGCCAACTTATTTTGTGAAACTGTGTAACTGTCTTAATTACTGGGTCCCGAAGCGTTTCGGTTCGTACAGCTTCTGCTGTAACTGGTAGACCGTGCAATGCACCACTTATCAGATAGTTGACGCCAGGTTCTATCTCGACCGAGGCAGTTATTATGTCCTTATGTTATTGCTGGTGGGCATCAATTAGGCATGACAGTGCATTCGCTTGGCCATTGGAAATTCTCAACTCGTAGTGGATCTCGAAATCATACCCCATTAAGGTAAGACCCCGATTAATTGGATCGGTCGGGATGCCCGTTTTCCAACCAAAGATAGCCAGCTAGGGCTTGTGACCTGTCAGAACATTGAAGCGGCGGCCGTATAGCATATTGTGGAATCTTTTGACCGCGAACACTATGGCCAATGCTTCTTTCTCGATCCGGCTGTAATTTCGCTCGGCCTTCGTAAATGTTCTGGCGGCATGGGCGATTGGTTTCTGAGATCCATCAGTGTATATGTGTGAAGTTACTTCCTCAATCCCATGGCTTGATGCATCTGGGGCTAGGATAGTCTCTTTGGAGAGATCAAAATGAGCCAAAAGCAACTTTGAGGACAGCAATATCTTGACCCGTTCGAAGTCATTTTGGCATTCTGATGTCCATTTCCAAGTTTGGCCTTTGGCTAGTAGCTTGTTTAACGGGGCACGCAGGTGGTGTATCTCGGGCAACAATACGCTATAATGGCTGATGAGCCCACAAAAAGAACGCGAAGACTGTAGATTTGTTGGTGGAGGCATTTTTCTAATGGCTTCCACGTTTTCCGGCTCTGATCGACGTCCATCCTTTTCAAGGATAAAACCGAGGTATTTGATGGTAGGCGTGAAAAATGTGCATTTATCCTCACGGATCCGGAAACTGTACGAGCGTATACAACCAAACACTTCATCCAGGCGGTTGAATAGTTCTTCTGGTGTTCGACCCATCACTATTATGTCATCCAGATATTCAGCGGCTCCAGAAACGCCCGCTAGCATGGTATCCATCAACTGTTGGAAAATAGCTGGAGCCGGTTTTTCACCATAGGACAAGCGGTTATATTTGAATAGCCCACGATGAGTGTTGATTGTCAACAACTCCCTCTAGACTTCGTCAACATCCACATGAGGGTAGGCATCGGACAGATCAAGCTTAGCGAAATACTTACCACCATTCAGTTTTGCAAAGATATCTTCCGATATGGGTAATGGATACTGGTATTCGTCCAGCGCGGCGTTAAGACCGGTTGAGAAGTCTGCGCCGACGCGTACCCTGCCATTTGCCTTCTTAAACTCGACACTAGGTGCGGCCCACGATGAGTAGTTGACGGCTGTGATGACTCCGGCTCGTTCCAATCGATCGAGTTCTTCAACGATTGATATGGCTACATACGGTACCGACCTTTTAGCCTTGAACACTGGTTTAGCACCTGGTCGCAAGCTAAGCGTTACCTTGAATTTCGTACAATGGCCCAAGCCATCCTGAAAAACAGAGGCAAGTTTTCGCTTCAGCGAACATGTCATGTATTCGACGGACTTTGATGCTGGGTCTGAACTTGCTCGAACTCGGTTGCAGATCTGATTCAAGGAACATCGAGTAGTTGCAACTTTTCAATTCAGTCAAGACCAAGAAGATTTAAATTCGGGCGGTCTGAAGTTTAGCACGCTCCCTACTTTTCCACACCTTTGAAAGCAATCTTACACGCAGGTTCGCCCACTAATTTTAACACACCGCCAGATGCATTATGCGCAACTTTCTGAGACTCGACCATCTTCGGCCTCTTTATGTGATTCCATGTGTTCCTGGAAATAATTGTGATGTCCGAGGCCGTGTCGAATTGCAGTTTCGTTAGGATCCCATTGATCAACACGCTGATAAATCGTCATCTCGGTTTACACTCACTTTGGAATGCGCCAAGTATGGACAGAGACTCTGCGCCATCCTTAGTAGAATTCCCCTTCTGATAAGACTTCACATTCTTCAACCGGACCTGACTGCAGAATTCCTCCTTATGCCCACGCTTATGGCACGTTTGAACGGACAAATGCGCGCGAAATGCCATTCGCCGCATGACCAGCATGCTGTGGCGGTTTGTTCGTAGACCTGTTGAAGGGTTTGCTTCGCTTGACGGTCCTGGCCTTTTTCACGAGTTTCACGGTATCTGGTGGTGCGAGACCATTTCTTTCCACCATGGCAGTATCCTGTTTTAGAGTGAGCAGCCGTTTGCATTCGCTTACGAGGGCGTTCTGTTTCAGACCAGGATCCTGCTCAAGCTTAGCTAAAAGCCGCGTGCGGATCGCAGCATCACTTGGGGATTGTAGAGCGTTGACGAAAATGTGAATCAGACTGATCGTAGTTTGAAACGCTCACACTCACGGTTAATCATGTCTGCTAGGGCCCGAAAGTCGTCCGATTGCTGTTTGCTAATTTTCAGGCATTGATAGGGAATACTAAACAAGGATACTGACTCACCGAAAATTTCCTTTAGCTGCGACACTACTTCGTTGGACGTCAAATTCTTCTGCTGTTTGAGCAGAATGTGTTCTATGAACCTTGTGTGTTCAGTTATTCCGAACTTGCATAGTAGCAATCGCACCTTCCAGGAATCGTCCTGACTAATGAAGTCCGTCTGGAACATGTCTTCCCAGCGCTTGAACCACGCTTCGAATGTGCTTCCAGACTCCACGTCATACTTGAATTCAGTGATTGTATTCGTGGGAAGATCAGAACTCGCCTCCATGTGCTCGGATCGTTGCTCCTGTTTGCAAACTCAAGCGTTGTGTCAGATTTTCGATCATTTTCATTTGTGCCTCCATTTGAGATGGCTGTTGGCAAAGCGGCTTTTGAAATTGCTCAGCAGAAAAATTAGTCACATTTCCAATTTTCTCAGTCGCCATTTGTTATAATCTCACTAGACGCGATTCCGAAATTGGCACTTTACTGCTCCACAAAACTTCTAGCTCAACCGAAGGAAAAAGCAGAACACCAATAACCTTGACAAAATAACGTAATAACCACCGTCAACAAACACTGTACAACTACCGCGGACCTTGGCTGTATTTATAAGTCTCTTACTGACCTTCGACTTCTGGAATTGGAAGGTCAACTACCAAGGTTAGCAGTTCGCCATAGCTTTGACTGAGATGTCAGGTGGTTACTCGCTAAAATAGTGGATTTTCCAGGTAATACTTACTTTCTCCCCGACACGAACATTATTCAATAATCATCACCACTGCCCGTTAAACCTGACACCATCGTGCTTCTATGCGTGTTTGCATGCATCATTAATGCTGTCAAAAAATAACTAGGTGCGAGTCAACATAAGCTTATCACCGCGCCGCCAACACATCCACTGTCGCTTCTTACCATCTATAAACAGCCTTAGCTTTGGTGTGGGTCGTCCCAACTCCATCGAATTATGACAAACAAATTACAACCCATTCATCAGCGGTTCAGCATGCGATGTTATTCTGCGGTTTACAGGAGTTCTTTGGCGACATCAACCTTGTTTTCGTTCACTGTTTCGTTCGTCTTTCATCTTTAGGTCTTGGCCAAGTTCCCAGTGATACAACATTTCTTGTTCGGACACCTCCTATCATTTGACAAGGCTTCGCCCAAAGCACCAGCTACAAACGTCGTAAGGCCGTCAATGCCTCCTCCATCTCAACTGCCCCAATAGTGCTGCATTGACCTTATCCCGTTCTCAGACCTTCACATTACACCCAATACAATTGGGGCGTCCGAGGAGTTCTGCGATCCCGCCTCTGTTGGCCTCCATTCGTCTGCTTACACCGTGTTCTTCAGCGCATCGTACATGTGCACCTTTTCCTACTTAAGTTTGCATTTCCCACCCCACACTTTTCCCATAATCTATTGAATGCACATACTTGCAAATTTTGCGGCCCCATCTTTTCGTTGCTACTATGATACATTTCGGCAATATAATACACTCTACCTACCACTCTTTTCCCAACATCCGAACCGTAATGGATACTCTAATGCTTCCTCTTGAATGACCGAGTCCACGGAGTGCGCTATAAACTAAGTGAAGAGTCGCCAAACTTTTCGCAGCGGGCCTAATAACTGACAACTTGCGTAACGCGACTCACATAATCAGAACGGAAATACTTGTGAAAAAGACAAGAAGCTGTAAATTTCGACACTCAATTCCCCACTCTGGTAGACATAATGTGGGGTGAGATAAAGAGGATCTTAACAGGAGAAAGGTATTGAATCGCAGACATAATAAAATGTTATTGAATTGGCAGAGAAACAGGGGACTGGCGGGTTAATGGTGGAATTACGGTTCCCCAATTGTACATGAAAATAGCATGGGTACCTTCTGTATTGGACTATTAGAATATAGGAAAGAAACCCAACTTCCGAAATAGGACGCCGCGGCTACTTATGGCACTAGAGGCAGGTTAGGCAATACTGGGGTTTGCCGCGCTTCGCTCAGACGATTAGTTGGCGCGCCCACAATAGCCACAGCTGTCCCCCTCCTCCGGCTCGCGCGCTGTTTCACGAGATCAGTTTCTTTTGTACTTAGTTGGCAGCATCCGGTTCCGGATTTGCCTGTCACTGCAGCCGCAGGACATTTGCGCTTACAGAAGAACCATGTGTGGCTTACTTTGCACCGCCAACGGCTACATCCGCACACTCAATCTTCACTATAAACCCAAAGAAATAAGACCAAGAAGGCATGTGGATGGGCTCCACGTTCCATCTACAGAGTTGGCCCACAATCCTTCAACATGCACAGCAGCAACATTGCTGCATGTCGTGCGCACCAAACGTACGCAAGGTGGTGGCTTAGCTGTAATCCTCTCCACACTGGATGGAACCACTCTTTGAGCCCAGCACGACCACAAGTTCCGTGACCTCTTCCCTATCAATGATTAGCAGTCTCCCGGAACCAGTTATCAAGGTAGTGGATAATAGATAGGTAGGCTTCTTTGTCAACATTCACATTGAACAATGAATTTATACGAGTTAAGAAGCGTTGATTTACAAGTCCCGTTGGATACTTGGTGGGGATATCAACATAGCAATAATGATGATAAGGATAGTAAAGTAGTTAATACTTTAAATATGAAAATAAGGGCTTATCGTTTGCTTCGCCGCAGTCCTGCGCTCCTCTTAGATTCACAACACCCACAGTTAACAACAAATAATTCCATGGTAAACTCTAGGTGTAGGATGGAGACGTAGTGTTAAGTGACAAAGTGTAATTGGATGAGTGCATCGTCCAACCGTCTTTTAAATACTGTTAGTGTCGGTGCAGAGACGACCGATTCTGGGAGAGCATTCCACGGGTGACAGACACGAATGGAAAAGAAATTTCTGCGGCACTCCAGACGATTGTATTGTTCTGCGAGTTTTAATGAGTGGCCCCTTAATTGCAGCCACACCGTGAATATCGAATAACCAACAACGAATTTGAAAGAAAATGAACACGCAAAACTGACACGGAATATGCAGCAGAATAATAGCACTGAGCTACTCAAATAAATTGTAGTAGTACTCATGAGTAGAGGGATTATAGGTGTTAATTTATGTATTCTTCCCAGCAGCTCACTGGCTACTTCACACAATCCCAACCCCGGAAAAACACCAGGCGCGCGTTTCCCTCTATCGGGGCTCGTTAGTGGTGCGCATCCTTCGGTTCCCTATTGGGGACCTAGTCCCAAATGCTATGGACATGGCGTCTAGGGCGAGATAGTCGTGACCTCGGGGCTGACTACCGTAATCTGCCTTCGTAGGGTCCCGCGTGGCAGTGCAAGATAGATCGGGCTATATCCCAGTCAGCCTGCAAATTATGTAACTCAACCACTGTCCGCCTTGGTTCATTGGCTTAAGCTGCTGGCTAGTTGGCGTCAGCAACTAGCGGTCATAAGTTCGTTTCCCAGTAGGAAACCGACGGATGCACACTACTGATAAGCCCCAATAGAGCGAAATGCGGGTCTGGTGCATTTCCGGATGGGAAATTGTGCTATGTAGGTTGTATGCTGTTTGGACGAATACATTAAAAGTGGAATACTCTTCATCCGGTTTAAGAAGCTATAGTTTAAGTGTAAGTCGGTATATCTCAACTACAGTAAAGATGCATGATGTCTGCAACCTCAATAGTATTTGCATGGTTGTACACGCGTGCCAAGGCGTTTATAAGGCTTGAACGAAACGTCTACCGAAATCAAATCAACAAACAACGCTGGAACTCGATAAGGATATTGTGTACATGCGATTACCACCCGAGTGACCAGAAGATGCCCACTGCAGTAACTGTTTTTGTGCCCCTGGCTGCCCCAGTGAGACATTTTGGATGAATTTCCGTCCCTCCAAAATTAATTTCTGACTTTGCTTTTACCTGTGTCGTGAATGCATTGTTCTTGGTCGCAAACACGGTCCACACAGCGAAAATCGATCCCCCAAATCGTAGTACAGAAGCCGTCAATATAATAAAAACTGTGTCAGCTGTAGGACGTGACGGCGCTTCGCTGCAGCGCGAGGACGCCCACCCATACGCGGATTCGAACCGGTGATCTTATGCTTGCAAATCAGACGTGCTGACCACTCGGCCACCAGTTGACCGAAATTCGTCCCAAGTGCATCGCACCGGGACGACCAGGGGTCTGAAATCGGTCCATCAGTGGCAGTCTGTCACTCACACTGACTGAAAGTACGGTTTTGTTAAAAGTAGAGTCTTATAAATAAAGACCGATGGAGTCAATGTTGCCTTATAATGCATAATAGTACATAGACACATTGCGCCAAACTTATTCTTTTTCCCTCAGAGTGACTGAAGAGACGACCAAACGGGACGGCTGGCCGTCCATCTGTGCGCGTAGGCAGTGCTTAAATGCACGAACTCCTACAACTTGTGCTTCCAACACAATTTCGTACCAACAGCGTCAATTCGTTCCAAATAACCAGCAAATATGTTTTCGACATGACATGCACCAACTAACGCTTAGTATGCCATGACAGTGTAAGATTACCGATAATGCGACATGCAGGGTTAAATGCATACATAAACGTTTTATTCTTCGGCGGTGCTTGGCACAGTCCAGCTGAGTGGTCAGCTGTCACCCACCTGACTGGTCGCATAGTAAACGTGCTCTCCTCTGTCACAGAGTTTTATATCTTCCTCTTTACCTAGCGCAGTCATCATACACTCGTTCGAATCGGAATAACTCTCCGTGTTTAGTGGGCATATTTTTACGGAAGTATTTCCTACGGAAAGTTATTTGTGCTACACAGGTTAATTTAGCGCGATCCGTGCTTCCATCCAGAAGCGCAACTCTGTTGTTTTTAATAGTTTTCACTGCGGTGATCGGTCCTAGAATTACATCCATAGGACCATTTCTGACGAAACTACGACTCAATCTGTGGTTTCAATTGCATTCGCCTATCGCCGGCACTTTCCGCTGTCATCCAACCACCACACGTGACTTCCAACGGCTTTGTCCTACAGAAACCAGTGTGGATTAATAAGCCAGTCAAGCTTCGTGTACGTATGTCCTCGTCACGCACACTCACCTACGGCACTCAACATCTACGGAGCGACTCGGACAAAGAACGCGAGCGTCACTCGCCCACTACCTCACGTAACCAGACAAGGGCAGCGTTCGTTTTCAGAACGGTCCTCAGTGGAATTGATTCCACCTAACCGTGAAAGTGGGAAGCAGGAGTGTATACGATCAGTTAAACGAAGCATTATTTGTGAATTTTGCGGCCTTCCGTTCCATCCCCTCTGTGTTGGTCTAAGTCAGCTACATTACAAGAGACAAATGCACCTGACTGATTCACTCTGGTTTTGCCAAACATGTAGAGCAATTCCAATGCTCAGTTATATAATATCGCTCGTAAAAATTGTGAAACATTAACTGAAACAGTCCAGCAGCTGGTGGGCTTTAAGGCTTTGCCATTAGAATCTAACAACACCGATCTTGCTCCACAGCAAACTCCTCAGAGCTTTGTCCTTCAGTCGAAGACTAATGTCAGGCTTGCTAACCGCCCGACAGCATCTGCATCGCCTACTCCTACAATTACTAACCCTTTAAGTAGGTAAGCCAAATCCAGTGTGACTGTTATTAACTCACCCCTAGATGCCATACCTCACGAGTTGGTCACGACACTGACATCGACAGTTCAGAGCCGTGTAACATACGCATCGATCGCCTCGATAAAAACGCCTAAAGAGACACCGTACGTCCATTTTCTGCACCAAGCACGAGCGATGCGACGCCGTTTTCATAACGTTCTTTAGTGCCCGCCAAACAATCCAGCTTAACAACCACAACACTCAAACCAACATTCGCTAGACAGAATCACAGTGCCTTAACGGTCCTGTGCACTAACGTTCCTGAGTCCAGTTCTGGCACAATAAAAGGCTACTTGGTAGATGATGGCAAACAGTGGCATTCCATCTGTGATGCGATTGTTATTCGGGTTGAACCAACTGAGCTACTACGTGTAACTCCTCGGACAAATCCAGTGCACTAAAGCGACCCCGATTTCTTTGAATAACATCGAACTCATTGCAGGAGCCAGAGCCAGTCCTACTCTCAGCAATTCATCTTCGCAACTCGTCGAGCTGGGTACGCATACTACCAGATATTCCTTGGAAAGACGCTCAAAGGAAAAAGAATATCATGGCAGCCCTTCTACGAACGAAAGCAAGAAAACCGTCTTTGTTCGTAGTGTTCCTGAACTAATGGGCTCTCCTGATCACGAAATACAAACACATGACCGAGCGCAGTGGTGCTACATCCGCGAAGCACTTTCTGGACAACGTCATCGCCAATTCACTAACGAGCATGCTTTCAGCTTCAAATTTCAAGGGCTGCGGCCCAAAACTATTGGTAGTCGTGCTACACTCAGATGGAATGACGAAAGTCCTATTGGATAGCTGGTTGAAGCATCACACCAGGTTACA